CATGTGATAAGTTTAGAGTATGAAATAGAGGGGGCTTTCAGGTCCTTCTAAGGACGCAGGCAAATCTTTGCTCTGGAGACAAATCAAAAAAGAAAAGAAAAAGTTAAAAATAACAAAATACACTTCTCATCTTGATTTGTTCATTCTTTAATATTCTAACCTGTGTGGTAACTCCAATAACAATTAGGATGACAAAATATTTTGGTTTGGTTTGGTTTTTTGTTTGTTTTTAAATCTTCTCCTTTGCTATTTTAAAAATACTGCTAACTCCCTTTTAAAATCTGTATCTAGCGACTAGGACAGATATTCTGTCTCATATTATCAGTATATCCTAATCCTTACATTTTTCTCATGTAAATTTGTAAACTATGGTCTTGACTTAGGACCATTTTGAACTATCTCCTACATAGACTCAAAGACTAGTACTTGCCTTCGTTATCTCCCCTCAAGTTATTCTTTAGACCTTAGACTTACACAGTCTTTTCTCAGTTTGGTATTTTTTTTATTTTTAAGAGGAAGCTGGTTAACACCAACTTATACACAACTGCAGAGGAGCTGCATTCCTTTTCCTAGCACAGCACTTTTCCTCTTGCAGAAGATGTTATGTGATATCACATGACTGATGTTATTTTCTTCCACAAAAGACCAGACACCATAATCACATATCATGCTCAGAGATTAGCAAATTTGGAGAATAGACTGTTCCTTTATTATTGAACTTTTTTTTTTTTTCTGGTGTTTAATCTTCTTTCTTCTTCTACCCCCGATGACACCTGAAGCTATATACTAAAATAACTAAAATAACTGTGAAACTATCTCCTTTTTTACATGGTTTTTAATCACTGCTTATACTACAGTGTAGCAGAAAATATATTGACAACCCTCTGATGGCATTGAAACTATTATAAAATTTGTACTGTTAATACAAATGAAAAAACTTTGGCATATAATTCAAAAAGTAAATTCTAAAAAGATCCAGAGTATTGATAATTTTGCTCACAAACAGAAATAGTACTTTTAGTCATTCATCCTTTAAATCTGGACAGTCTGAGCCCTGTTGCTATTATTTATTACATGTGAGATTTCTACCCTTTATTTCTGCATGGCTTTTTACATTTCGTTTAAGAAATAATCAGAATTTGTATTAAGCATGTTCTAGCAGAAAGACTATCTTCTGTGGCTACTCAGATGTGTTTCATTTAGCTTAAAAGGAAAATATTACCTACAACATATTAAAACAAATCCAGAAACAGATGCCATGGTGATTTTTCCACATTTGAGTTTTAGTGAAGTAGGCATCATAGAAATTGTACCTGGTTTTGCAGCCACTGCTGTTTAAAAACCTTTATAGAGGTTTTTAAAAGTAAGGACGTAGGGTTTGTGACACAGAATGGAGAAAGGCCTAACGTCACAAATGAACAGCAGGTTTCCACATTTTCAGGAATTCAGTAAACTCTTAATTGCAGCAGTAATCAGAGCTGCAAGGGAAGGCTGTGCTTCAGAGCACCATTTTGTGAGCTCGTAATTAGACATTGATTCTCACATAATGTAACTCCTCTAATTGTATAGAAGGCTGTAATTCAGTCTGGAAGCTGCTGATGTGCTGCAAGGACACAGCTTTAGGTGGCTTACAAACAGCAATAGAAAAATCATACTGAGTTATAGATTTAGTATTCTGTGAGTAAATTAGTAAGGCTGGCTATATGAGAGGCTGTAACTTGTTATGTATTTCTAAATCTTATGATTTAAATCTTATGATTATTGGAAGAAGAGATTTAAAGTATACTTAATTTAAAAGAAAATGGATTATTAAGATTACGGCTAGCATGGAAGGCTATGCGCAACACAGAGGAACAATAGCAACATATTAATATGCAGTGAATTATTAACAAAAAAGTTACTCCACGACTTTATTTCTTAGTGAATTTTACTTGTCTTGCAGTATATTGTCTAAAAAGATGTTATCCACCCTGCCAGGACCAATACTTAACATTGTTGGTGCATAACATTAAATATAGATCTTTTTTTTAAAAAAAGAAAGGTTAGAAACTGCATGCCTTTTTGATAGACTGTGTTGCTGATATTTCCAGAAATTCTGGCAAATGCATTGGCAATTTAAATGAAAAATAACAAATGTATTCATGAATATATGTGAATGTCCTAAGAGTCTTAAGAAATGAACAATTTCTATTACCTCTTAGCATAAAAATATATGTTGTATTTTTCAGTCTTGCAAGAGTGAGATTATTCTAGGAAACAGCATGACAAATATGATTCATACATTGTCAGTGTAGTGCCCCTCCTGTAACTGCTCTTAAGTGTTAGTAGTGTCATTGAGGGAAAAGGAGATTAAGTCTCTACCCTTGGGATCTACAAAGGCAAAGCCTGCATTAACCTTCATCTATCTGTAACTAAAAATAGCCATGCAGTAATGTAGTATTGATTGTGTGCATTAGATCAGTCAACACTGTTTTGTTCGGCCCACCCTGCTGAACTCATTCTAGAGTTTTTAGACCAGTACAGATTGACCTGAATGTTCTTTCTCTAATTTAGAGCAGAAAAGGGTCAGGTGACATCAGCCTCATGCAAAGAATGATTAAAGCTGTCAGAAAGAGGATTTTAAGGTAGATAGCTAAGTGCACCACTTTTTTTTTTTTTTCTAAAATTCTTTCTTTTCATAGAATCATTTTGGTTGGAAAAGACCTTTAAGATCACCAAGTCCAACCATTAACCTAGAGACTATCAAGTCCTCCACTAAACCCTGTCCCTGAGCCATTTAAACACCTTCAGGGATGGTGCCTTCATCACTTCCCTGGGCAGCCTGCTCTAATGTGTAACTTCTCTCCAAGTCACAGCTATGATAATCCTTGCCACTGTTCATGTTTTCTTTGTGATTTATGGATTCATAGAAGAACATACGGTAAGTCAGGTGCAAACTATTATCAGCTACAGAAACCCCATTATATGGATTTTATACTAATTTTTAGTTCCATCTCTCTGAAAATATTATATTATACAATGTTCAAATGACTTATAGCTTTTGTTTTCCTCTCTTCTTGCTGCCTAAAATTTAGGCCACCCTTTAATGAGGATTCCTCGAAACTACTTCCTTTACTGTTCTTCCCCAAGCCTCCCTTTCATACCACAACCCCCAAACTCTTCCATTCTGTGTTATAACAGTAGTACTCAGTATCCAAAATGAATAAGTAAATTTTTACTAGTATATCAAAACCAACTTCTGTTTATGCTGATTCATCTACAGATACATTGGTAAGTGTCCTAACCCTTGACAGAAAGCTAACTTCTTTAGAGTGAAAATTTTTCCTTACAGGGCTGGGGAAAACTGATGCTTCAAGAAGTGATCTAGGTTTTTCTCAATGTTAAATAATTAACCTTATTAGGAATCATACAATATTAGAAAAAAAGTCTTTTTTTTTGTCAGTTGGACTGCATGATGTGTTGTAATGCTTTCATAAGGGACTATATATAATAATATTTATTAAGGATTTTATATAGATCTGCATACAGAAATTTTGGTAGAGAAAGGGATAACTGTATTGAAGTAAACCTCTGTTTATCCCTAGTAGCTTATTTATCGAATAAATTCTTCAGTAATTAGTTAATTTAGTTTTAGTAAAATTAAGTATTCCAGTTGTGAACTTTAATCATATTTGAATTAACTGTGATCTGAGAGCAGAAGAGATGGAAGCATGTGCTGACCGAAAGACACTGCTCATTGCCACTGCAATGATGCAGAGGAGCTAAAGAACAAACATGCAGAACAAAGGAGAACTTATTTCTGTGTGAGTTGCAACATCAGTTTTTACTGTAACAGGCAATGTACTTCTTATGGCATCATTCCTGTTTCTCACATAATAGCCATGCTTTGCAAGATGTTGGGACATGTCGATACTTAAGACAGACTGAAAGAGAAGTTAACCTGAAATCAACCCTGGAACAGATGTTTGAAAGAACCTGTGTGATTTAGGAGCTGCTTGGCAGGCAGGGATTCAGTTCCTGTAGGCTAAAGACTTCTTTCAAATGGGTATTAGATGAAACTAGGAAGAGGTTATACAGCAAAACTTATTCTTAGCAGAGAAGCATCAATAGCTTACAGGTATGCTTATTCGGATTGGTAGACACCAATCATCTCCTCACTTTCCATGTGCCTTTGCAGAGTCTTCAGAAGGATCTGCTCTGTAACCTTGCCAGGCACAGAGGTGAGACTGACAGGCCTGTAGTTGCCCAGGTCTTCTTTTTTCCCCTTGTTGAAAATGGGGCTTATGTTTCCCCTTCTCCAGTCAGTGGGAACCAGATTGCCATGACTTTTCAAATGTGATGGAAAGCGGCTTTGCAACTTCATCCACCAGTTCCCTCAGGACCTGGAGATGGATCTCATCCGGTACCACGGGCACCTTGTGTTCTTTAGGTGAGCTCAAATGGGATCTTCACTAGGCTTTGCCATTGTAGCACACTGTACACTAATATTGAGCTTCTTGTCCACCAGAATCCCCAGGGCCCTTTCCACAGAGCTGCTCTCCAGCCAGGCAGATCCCAGTCCGTGATACATTCCTGGATTATGGTATCCCAGGTGCAAGGCGTTACACTTGTCCTTCCTGAACTTCATCAGGTTCCTGCTAGCCCACTCTTCCAGCCTATCCAGGTCTTCCTGCAGGGTGTCTCTCGCTTCTGAAGTCTCCACTTCCCCAGTCAGTTTGGTATCATCAGCAAATTTCATCAGGCTACACATGATCCCATCATCTAGATCACTTCTGAAGATATTCAACAGCACTGGGCCCAATAACAGTCCCTGGGGGACCTCATTTGTAACAGGTTGCCAGTTTGAAAATGAGGGTTTTTACCACCACTCTCTGGGTGTAGCCTGTCAGCCAGTTCCCGAGTCACTACATGGACCACTTGTCTAGACCATAACACATCAGCTTCTCTAGGAGAAGGCTGTGGGCATCTGTTTGAAAGCCTTAAGTAAATCTAAGTAGACAATGTCCACCTCTCGTGCCACTTCAGCCAAGCAGGTTACTTGGTTGTCGAAAGTGATTGGGTTTGTCAGGCATGATTTGCCCTTGGTAAATCCATGCTACCTTTTCCCACTCACTTCATGTGCTTGATCTGACTGGTGATAGCCTCCAGGAGGATCCATTCCATAACTTTCCCAGGGACTGAAGTAAGATTGATGAGCCTATAACATCCTGGGTCCTCGTTTAAGTCCTTCTTGTAGATGGGGGTGCCCGTTAGCCTTCTTGCAGCCTTCTGGGATGTCTCCATGTCTTCTCAAAGATTATGGAGAGCAGCGTCGCAATCACATCAGACAGCTCCCTTAGCACCCTTGTCTGGAGCCATCAATTTGTAGGGGTCAAACTTCTGTAATGGTTTACATGCCAACTTTTCCTTCACTTGCCAAGTTTTATAATGGTGTTTATGGAAGTTTCAGAAGACAGAATGAGCTTCTTCCCTAATTCTATCTGACAAGGGTTACTGATGTCCAGAGAAATTATCTTGGACTGAAATTACTTTAAGTCACAGAAACCATTATAAATGGCAGGGAGAAAAGCAGAGAAGCAAGGAAGCAAGCAAGGAAGGACAGGAGTGATGATGGAAGGGAGAGATAGTGAGAGGGAGGGAGGATTACCTAGTATACACTAGCAATGGCTATTTCAATCTTAACAGATAATAGAAGGTACATGAAATTATATTTCTTCTGTAAATTAAGACATGCTTTTATTAGACCTACTTGCATTTTATACAAATAGTGGGAGTTACCAAAAGTTATAAATAACATGCATTCCAAGGAAAGGAATTAGAAGACAAAATGTGAGCAATACTACTTACAAATTTCTGAAGGTAGAAGTTTTTTGATCACTAATAACTGTTGACTTCAAATCATGAAGTCAACATGCAGAGAAAAAATTAAAACCTTGTTGATTGCTGTAAATAATAGCTACCTCAATTTCTTTTAAAAGATCCCTTGAGCTGTCTTTGTTTATTGTTTTAAAATTAAATTTGTTGGCAAACAACATGAGCTTTCCATAAATCTAATAATCTTTAACTGTACGTATTTTTTGCTAAATCTTTGGTTCCTAAAGTTGTACATTGCAAAGAGATAGTTAGGCTTGACAGGTAAATAAGTCAGCTACATCAATCACACAAAATAAACATTTACACTTGTAATGGTTTGAAAACAAACCAGTGAGAGACTCCAAGTCAGAAATACAATTTAATAAAAAAAAAAAATAAAATAAAAGCAATAATACAAAGGAAAACCACAGACAGAGTCAGAATATAACCTGATACTCTGTAGTTAGGGTGGTGGTAGCAGTCCAGATGAAACAGTGGTCTCGTAGAAAAGATCTGGTAGCTCTTGTCCTCTGGAAATCCAGTGGGTAAGGCCCCCTGTGCTGTACTGAACCCCAGTTTATATCCAGGTGGGAGCACTTGGCTCCTCCCCCTGGGTGGAGCATCTCACAATGGGTTGATATCAGTCTATGAATCATGCAGTGGGTCCTTGATGGTCCATTAAACAGAAATAGCTCCTGGGGGGAGTTCTGTATGAGTCATGGGGCAAGGCATGGATGGGCCCATTAACAGGGAGGACTCCTCCTGCTGGGTGGGAAGGTGTTAACATCTCCCCTGACCTTGAACCTCTTTCCTTATCTGTTATAGCCTGGCGTGTGAGGTCTGTCCTGGGCAGCTGCTACCCATGATTTTCTTAACAGCCCATGAGCATTGACATAGAGAGTATAGAATATACAGTTTTGGTTCTACCCACATAAGGATAAACTGGTCCCAGCCCCTGTAACCATGACACACTACAGCCATTCATCAAGCAGCTGAAATCTAAAATGCTCTTTAGTTGGCCTAACTTTCCTACATGGCTTGAATGAAAAGCTCGAATCCTTTGGATTCCTTTTAAAGGTATTAGCTCTTCTAATCCCTTCAAAAACTGCAGTCACAGTTCCTGTGTTTTATAGTCAGACAGAAAATTTGTGATGTCAAAAACACATTCAGGTTAGATTCCTTGGGAATTCTGATTGAAGATTGTAACCCAAAATGGTGACTCACCTAAACCAGTTTTGGTTCTTGACCACCACTTTCCCTGATTCAGACTATACAGTTTTATTATATTAAAAAGTCAGAGTAAGTAACCTAACAAATGCCTTAAATTCGGTATATTTTTTTCTTGCTAACTTCCTAAAGAAAAGATTATATGATCACCACACGTAAAAATATATTGACACATAATGAGTTACCTTGGCGAATGCTTGCCTAAAATCCATTTGCTTGTCTAGAGGGATGATACTGTTCTGTAAATAGGATTTGGGAAGAAGTGTCAAGGATTCTTTCACAAGAAATTATATTCCTTTGTGTATCGTGGCTCAGGCCTCAGATATAAGAAACAATTTGCCTGTAATCTTAATAACACAATTATATGAGGAAAGTAGAGTTTACTTTGAGATCTTCCTCTCTTTAAATGATTTGTTTACAAGTCAAAGAGAAAGTCACATTCCCTTAGTCTAATCACGTTTCCTTGTATGTTTGTCTGCAAATCTTGGAAACTTTGTCCATTTGCATGTTCAGTCCATGTCAAAGACGAGCTTTGGATAATTGGCATTTATATAGGCAAACGTAGCAGGAAAGGAAATAACGAAATACACAGTTATGTTAATCAGATCTTTTAAAAATCTCTCCCTGAGACAGGTCGCAAGGGGTAAAATTCTAAATTGGAAATTTCTAGGGTCCTTGCTTTAAACACAGAATGTGACAGTATTGTAGCATATCAATGAGTATAAATTGATTGCCTATGTCTGTTTGGTTCACAGGGACTGACTTTAATTAACCAATTTACATAGTGTAAAAATCCTTTTTTCTCCTGCAAAACTTATCCATTGTATGTAGATAAGAAAGTCACACCTTTCAGAAAATCTTAGCTCATAATCAAAGGGAAACACAACCTCAGCCTGCCATATCCCAGTACTTATTAGCCTGTCACCATCTTATTCAAACTGATATATTGTCTTGGCATTTTGACAAACTGGAATTTTCTGATGGGAAAACTATTTCAGGAAAGAAAGAAAAATCCTGATCACCTTAGCATCGTTACTGTTCCTACACTATTGAAACATTAATCCCTTTGTTTACTGTCCAAACTAGTATTTTTTGCACATTCAATACATTTTTGCAAGAAAGAACATTTGTTTTAACATTTTTCCTGAAGGTGTATGACAGCCCTTCTCACAGCTTATCAGAATTACTCTTTTTGAGATAGCGTATCTAAGTGTGCAAGTTTTGCTCAAAATTCTGGAGAATTTGGTGTACTGTAGATGAGAAAAGAAAGGTGAAAATTCAAAAATATATATTGATAAAAGTGACCAGTAAAGATGATATAGGATGTTATTTTTATATGGTGTTGTAGTTTTAAAAGCTTTATATTAATTTGCCATCTAATGAATTACCAATTTACATAAAAGGCCAACATAGAATTGTATTACTTTGCTATGAAGAACACTTGAACTAATTTAACATAATATAGCAAATTATCTAAGACCATTTAGTCAAATATACAAAAGAGGGGTCAAACCTAGGGCAGCGCTATTTAAATCAAATTGAATTCCATCTTGAGAATGGATTTCAAATAGATTTTTAATTGCAGTATTTTGTCCACAGGGCATTCTATCACACATTTTTCATTTCCAGGTAAAATCCACTAGTATGTCCTCCAATAGTATAGTGCCAAGTCTCTAATCTTTACTAAATTTCTGTATTATGAAGTATGTAAATACATTCTGAGGCTTTCATTCTTTGCTCATTTTGTTTATAGCTAATCTCTCAAATGAAACACTGGGTATTTCCCAGGTCTGTTTTATTTCATTAAGCAGAAAAACAGGAACAAAATCATAATACTAGATGAACTTTTAATCATGCACCAGAGAGAAGCTGCAAAGATAGCACAGATCTTTTCTTCGAGTGGTGTGATCCACAGTAGAAAAGCTCGTCCTTGAAGCTAAGTCTAATGCTTTCTGAATTTTTTTGACAAAACCTTTGCTAAATTAATAACAGCTGCAAATGCACTTGTTTTTTTCTGAAAAGATGATTTGCAGCTAAGGTTCATTCTTCAAACCTTGACAAAGTATTTACAGTACTTTTGTTTACAATTAGTCTTCTTTACAGTTCTATTTCAGATATTGTGCTGTGGGACTGAAATGGTTTCTGATGGGACAGGCCATCACAGATGAAATGTTTAGTTCCAGATATGATATACTTTGTTTTATCAGACACACTTTTCTTAAAAGCTACAAAGATACATTTACTACCAGGGCTTTATTTGCTGTTCTTCCTGACAGAGTAATCTCACTGAAAATTAGTCCAAAAGAGAATTTTTGCATTATTTGCATGTCATGTAACCTCTAAAAATAATTTGAGTTGTAAATTTGCTTTAAATATGTCTATAAAGGACCCTAAAGTCACATGCTTATGACCCTAACAAGCAGCTGATATTAGTAAATTCACTGCAGCCAGGACACACTACAAAATTAAGGGCAGCCACTTGCAGCTACTGGAGTAGAAATACAGTACAATAATAGACAGGGAGTTTTAGATCTGTCCTGGTTGGGTGGAAACTGCTTGTAGAAAAGGTTCCTACCAGTGTGTAAGTGATGCAGCTTCTCAGAGAAACAGCAGCAACAGCAGAGAGTTGGAGAACAACAGTGTTAACTGTTTTTTAGAACTGGGCATGATTCTGGGTCTATCAAACCAGAGCCATCCAGCTCCAGCACAGGGCTGATTGTGGCAGGGGTGCTAGAAGTTCTCACGATGAAGCAACTGTTTCATATGATTAGAAGATGTTGAAAAGCTTGAGGAAGCACTCAAATCATCCTGATTTGAGTTCTTATGCCCGTACTATATTTTATATTCAAAGTTTAAAAATAAAAAGAGTCCATGTTTTCCCTGAATTGTGGCCATCAAGAACAAAATATTTTACACGAAAAATGAAAAAAAGAAAAAAGGACAAAATATCCTTTCTTGACTCTACACTTTCCTTGTAAA